GGACTCCACTATTCCATTGACACCAATGATTTGAGGGCTATAATCCCTGGGCTCCACTATTCCATTGACACCAGCAATTTGGGGGCTATAATCCCTGGGCTCTACTATTCCATTGACACCAGCAATTTGGGGGCTATAATCCCTGGGCTCTACTATTCCATTGACACCAATGATTTGGGGGCTATATACCCTGGGCTCCACTATTCCATTGACACCAATGATTTGGGGGCTATAATCCCTGGACTCCACTATTCCATTGACACCAGCAATTTGAGGGCTATAATCCCTGGGCTCCACTATTCCATTGACACCAGCAATTTGGGGGCTATAATCCCTGGGCTCCACTATTCCATTGACACCAATGATTTGGGGGCTATAATCCCTGGACTCCACTATTCCATTGACACCAATGATTTGAGGGCTATAATCCCTGGGCTCCACTATTCCATTAACACCAATGATTTGAGGGCTAAAATCCCTGGGCTCCACTATTCCATTGACACCAGCGATTTGGGGCTATAATCCCTGGGCTCTACTATTCCATTGACACCAGCGATTTGGGGGCTATAATCCCTGGGCTCTACTATTCCATTGACACCAATGATTTGGGGGCTATATACCCTGGGCTCCATTATTCCATTGACACCAACAATTTGGGGGCTATAATCCCTGGGCTCCACTATTCCATTGACACCAACGATTTGGGGGCTATAATCCCCGGGCTCCACTATTCCATTGACACCAACGATTTGGGGACTATAATCCCTGGGGTTCCACTATTCCATTGATACCAGCGATTTGGGGGCTATAATCCCCGGGCTCCACTATTCCATTTACACAGACGATTTAGGGGCTATAATCCCTGGGGTTCCACTATTCCATTGATACCAGCGATTTGGGGGCTATAATCCCCGGGCTCCACTATTCCATTGACACCAACGATTTGGGGGCTATAATCCCCGGGCTCCACTATTCTATTGACACCAACGATTTGGGGGTATAATCTCTGGGATTCCACTATTCCATTGACACCAACGATTTGGGGGCTATAATCCCTGGGCTCCACTATTCCATTGACACCAACGATTTGGGGGCTATAATCCCTGGGCTCCACTATTCCATTGACACCAACGATTTGGGGGCTATAATCCCTTTGCTCCACTATTCCATTGACACCAACGATGTGGGGGCTATAATCCCTGGGCTCCACTATTCCATTGACACCAACGATTTGGGGGCTATAATCCCTGGGCTCCACTATTCCATTGACACCAACGATTTGGGGGCTATAATCCCTGGGCTCCACTATTCCATTGACACCAACGATTTGGGGGCTATAATTCCTGGGGTTCCACTATTCCATTGACACCAACGATTTGGGGGCTAAATTCCCTGGGCTCCACTATTCCATTGACACCAACGATTTGGGGGCTATAATTCCTGGGGTTCCACTATTCCATTGACACCAATGATTTGGGGGCTATAATCCCTGGGCTCAACTATTCCATTGACACCAATGATTTAGGGCCGCTCTCCCCTGGGGACCATTCACCTACTTACACTAAGGTTTTGAAGGGCTATTCTCTCCAGGTGGCCACTATTTCTTTGACACCAACAATCTGGAGGCCTTTCTTCCTTGGGGCTTGCTATTTCATTAAGAACAATGATTTGGAAGCCATTCTCCCCTAGGGCCCACTATCCCACTGACACCAATGATTTAGGGGGTCATTCTCTTCTGGGGGCCACTTTCACAATGAGACTAATGATTTGAAGGGGTATTCTTTCTTGGTGGCCACTGTCCCACTGACACCGATGCCTGGGGGGGGGGGGGGTCATTCTTCCCTGGCGCCCCTATCCCACTTACACTATTGTTTTGAGGGGCTATTTTCTCCAGATGGTCACTATTTCTTTGACACCAATGATTTGGAAAGCCATTCACCCCTAAGGCTCACTGTTCCACTTATACCAATGATTTGGGGGGAGCATTCTCCCCAGGGGCCCACTTTTCTACTGACATTAATGACTTAAGGGTCATTTTTCCCCTGGGGACCACTTTCCTAAACAGACTAATGACTTGAGGGGCTATTCTCCCTGGGGGGGGGCACTATCCTATTGGCATCAATGATTTGGATTCCATTCTACCCTTGGGGCCCACTATATCACCGACACCAAAGATTTGGGGGGTCATTCTCTCCTAGGGGCCACTTTCACATTGAGTCTAATGATTTGAAGGGGTATTCTCCCCTGCGGCCACTATCCCATTTACACTCATTTCTTTTACGAGGAGCTATTCTTCACTGACACCAATTATTTGGGAAGCCATTCACCATAAGGCAAATTATTCTACACCAATGATTTCAGGGAGCATTTTTTCCAGGGGCCCACTATTCAACTGACATCAATGACTTAAGGGTAATTTTCTCCTGGGGGCCACTTTCCCAAAGAGACTAATGATTTGAGGGGCTATTCTCCCTAGGTGCTACTATCCCACTGGTATCAGTGATTTGAAGGCCATTTTCCCTTGGGGCCCACTATATAACTGACACCAAAGATTTAGGTAATTCTCAACTGGGGGGGTCATTCACAATGAGACTAATGATTTGAAGGGCTATTCTTTCCTGGTGGCCATTATCCCACTGACACTAATGTTCTGTGGGGCTATTTGTCCTTTAGTGGCCATTATCTCATGGACACCAATGATATGGGAAGCCATTCGCCCATTAGGCACACTACTCCATGTACACCAATGATTTGGGGGGGAATTCTCCCCGGGGCTCACTATTCCACTGACATCAATCCTAAGGGTCATTCTCCTGGGGGCCACTTTCCCAAAGAGACTAATGATTTGAGGGACTATTCTCCCTAAGGGCCACTATCCCATTGGTATATATGATTTGGAGGCCATTCTCACTTGGTGCCCACTACATCACTGACACCAAAGATTCAGGGTGTCATTCTCCACTGGGGGCCACTTTCACAATGAGACTAATGATCTGAAGAGCTATTCTCCCCTGGTGGCCACTATCCCACTGACACCCATACCTTGGGGGGGGGGGGGAAGCATTCTTTCCTGGGGCCCCTATCGCACCTACACTGATATTCTGTGGGGCTATTCTCCCCTAGTGGCCATTATCTCACTGACACCTATGATTTGGGAAGCCATTCACCCCTTAGGCACACTACTTCACTTACACAATGATTTCAGGGAGCATTCTCCCCAGAGGCCCACTATTCAAATGACATCAATGACTTAAGGGTCATTCTATCCTGGGGGGCCACTTTCCCAAAGAGATTAATGATTTGAAGGGCTATTCTCCCTAGGGGTCACTATCCTACTGACACCAAGGATTTGGATTCCATTTTCCCTTGGGGCCCACTATATCACTGACACCAAAGATTTGGAGGCCTTTCTCCCTTGGGACCCACTATATCACTGACACCAAATATTTGTATTCCATTCTTCCTTGGGGCTCACTATATCACTGACACCAAATATTTGGATTCCATTCTCCCTTGGGGCCCACTACATCACTGACACCAACGATTTGGAGGCCTTTCTCCCTTGAGGCCCACTACATCACTGACACCAAATATTTGGAGGCCTTTCTCCCTTGGGGCCCACTATATCACTGACACCAAATATTTGGATTCCATTCTCCCTTGGGGCTCACTATATCACTGACACCAAATATTTGGATTCCATTCTCCCTTGGGGCCCACTACATCACTGACACCAAAGATTTGGAGGCCTTTCTCCGTTGGGGCCCACTATATCACTGACACCAAAGATTTGGAGGCCTTTCTCCCTTGGGGCCCACTATATCACTGACACCAAAGATTTTGGGGGGTCATATTTTCCCTGGGGGCCACTTTCTCAATGGGACAAATGATTTGAGGAGCTGTGCTCCGTTGGGGCCCACTACTGTACTGAAACCGATTATTTGGGGACCGTTCTTCCACTGGGGCTAACTCTCCCATATTTTTTCATTCTGTCCATGTTAAATTACAGTAACTCAATTTTTTTTATTTCTTAGTCTCTCTGGAATACATTTTGAACATTTTGCATTCTAATACTTGCATTATGTGAGTATAATTTTTTTTTCTATTGCTGGGTCATGGTGGGAAGGTTTTGTATGAATTTGCCAAGCCCTGGTCCCACGAAGGTTGAGAACCACCAACCTAGACTTTCCAGCTGGATGTGACCCGTTATTGTCAAGGGTCAAAAAATGATGTTTTCCTCCAACTGGTGGAATTTAAAGTCATTGTATTTGGCCAAATCCTTTTTCCACTGTTTATTCAGCTTCTTTTAGCCTCCATTTGTAAACTGGAGGAAAATCGGAGGAGAATTAGCAGTGAAAGTGAGCAAAGTGTGATGGGATGTGAAGCATTTATTCCGCGATCGTCGAAACCGACTGTCGGTCACCAGGTGTGTTCAGCCATGTTGGTGGTGGCAGGATCCTGGGTATGTCTGCCAGTCTTGGCAGCAGTTTGCCCATTTCGGTGGCGGTGTCTGGTAGTGCTGATTTTAGAGGTGACAGATAATCACGACGGGGAGTCCCGGGGTATCCATTGGACACTCAGGAGCTCTGATTGGCCTGATTATTTTGGTTCTTAGACGAACGCTGATAACTTAGACATGTCTGATCACTGTAAATCTGCAAGTAATGATCCCTGAGACTCTGGTCACCTTCCCCTCTCATCTCCATTATAACATCACTACAACACCAAATTACTGCCCGCCACTAATAACCAACCACTGATAAAGCTGCAGGCCAGGGTTTCCAGACAGCCCGTTCAAGCCTGTGTATCTTAGACAGGTCCTCTTCATTGACAAGTCAGGTTAGTCTACATCAGTCCGATTTGGTGGATCCTCTCAGTGTTGTCATCCACTTCACTGAGCAACCCTCTAGGAGCACTTAAGGGCTAAACTGATGTCAGCATTTACCTAATAAGACCTTATTGCTGGGATTTCCCGCAGTAGTTTGTGTCTCTGCCCCTCCCACAATGGGGAGATTTCCTGCAGTAGTTTGTGTCTCTGCCCCTCCCACAATGGGGAGATTTCCTGCAGCAGTTTGTGTCTCTGCCCCTCCCACAATGGGGAGATTTCCTGCAGTAGTTAGTGCCTGCCCCTCCCACAATGGGGAGATTTCCTGCAGTAGTTAGTGCTTGCCCCTCCCACAATGGGGAGATTTCCCGCAGTAGTTTGTGTCTCTGCCCCTCCCAAAATGGGGAGATTTCCTGCAGTAGTTTGTGTCTCCGCCCCTCCCGCAATGGGGAGATTTCCCGCAGTAGTTTGTGTCTCCGCCCCTCCCACAATGGGGAGATTTCCCGCAGTAGTTTGTGTCTCCGCCCCTCCCACAATGGGGAGCTTTCCTGCAGTAGTTAGTGCCTGCCCCTCCCACAATGGGGAGATTTACCTTCAGTAGTTTGTGTCTCTGCCCCTCCCACAATGGGGAATTTCCCGCAGTAGTTTGTGTCTCCGCCCCTCCCACAATGGGGAGATTTCCCGCAGTAGTTTGTGTCTCCGCCCCTCCCACAATGGGGAGTTTTCCTGCAGTAGTTAGTGCCTGCCCCTCCCACAATGGGGAGATTTCCCTTCAGTAGTTTGTGTCTCTGCCCCTCCCACAATGGGGAGATTTCTCACCATCAGATCTACAATACATTAATAATATACATATGCCCAATAACATAAAATTGAGATATCAGTTTGGGGTGGAGGTGACTTTGCACATGACTAACCCTTGACAGGTTCCAGTCCTCTTCTGACAATTGAAGGCAGCTGTAAGCACTTCTGGAAATCTGAAAAACATGACCTGTTCATGATCTTCGAGGACCCAACTTGGGAGACTGCAGGGCACCATGAGATGTACTAATGCAGGCCATAGACAGGTTGAAAACTGGTTGTTTTTAAAAACAAAAAAACTAAAAATCGGTCGTTCAATAGGCCGACGTTACCACCTCCGGCCGGCATTTAATTACTTCTGTCCCTGCAGAGAACTCCGCTATATTTGACATGAAAAAGTATTGCGGTTGCAACAATGTATCCATTTGTATCCATTTCAGATACAGATGTTTTTATTCACATACAAATGGATACATTGTTGCAACCACAATACTTTTTCATGTCAAATATAACCGCAGACTGGAATTCTTCATCCTCTTCTTCTTCTTTTTCTTGCAGGTCACAGCTCATGCGCATATTTTTTATCGGTAAAAAGATCGGCCGATTTGCCCATCATTGCCGCGAAAATCGGCCAATTTTTTTCCAACTTTACCGATAAAAAAAAATGTGCCAAAATCCAGAAAAACGGCCGACCAATTAACCCCTAACGGTGCGAAAATCGGCCGATTTTCGACCCATCTATGGCCTGCATAAGCTGTCAAAATAAATGAATAAACATCGTCATCCAAGACTCCGCCTCTGCTGATTTTTACTGATTTTAAATGACAATAAACATTTAGCTGTACATCACTACGGACAGCGCTGGTGCTATATAGAAAAGAGAAAACAGGAAGCATCTGTGGTGATATATTATGTAAATGGTTAATCCCCCCTCCCCCTCCTCATTAACACCCCAGACCCCCATCAGGGACAGAGCTCATTATTCCCCCCATGTTAGTGTATTGCCAGTCACATGGAGGGAGTGCGAACAGTTGTGTGTGGGGGTGGATGGGCGAGAGGGGGGATGGGGGGTGTGAATTCAGAGACAGGTGGAGAGGAAACACTGAAATCAAAGAATTTCTTCCTCTCCGGATCGCAGATTCCTGGTTCCTACATGATGCCATACGTAAGGGAACGCACCAGGAGCACGATCGGTATCGATACAATGTTCCATCTTCAAGCGACAGCGCAATATTCACAACGACGGCTTCGTACGAGGGTCCCGGACTGGGAGATCTGTCCGAGGATTGGACTCAAATTCAGAATAATGTGCTCTGACATTACTATTATTATCATTATTATTATTTATTTTGTCTTTAGAATATCCTTTGTTAAGATGTACATTGTATACTGAAGGTATGAAAGGGCACTAAAGAGATACATAGTAACACAGTGTTGCTATATATTAGTAAGTATATATAGTATATATATATATATATATAGTAGTAAGTGTGTATGCATGTGTATATGTGTATATATATATATATATATATATATACACAGTTGTGTTCAAAATAATAGCAGTGTGTTGAAAAAAGTGAATAAAGCTGAAAATCCTTCTAATCGCTTTTATTTCCATCCACACAAATGCATTGGGAACACGACACATTCTATTCCAAATCACAACATGAAGAAAAATACATCAAATTTGTGTTGTTCCTCTAAAAAAATGGAAGAAAAGTGAATATTAGACGGTTCAAAAAAATCGCAGTGTTTGTATTCTTCTTTACAAACTCAAACATTCACTATATAAACTGAGAAATGTTTGAAGATTTTGCTTTCCTTTGAATGACTTCATGAATATTTGGTTGTAGTCGCACTGTTTCTGAGAACTGCTG